GTTAGGTATTGGTATTGTTCTGTAGATGGAAGAGGGGAGGTAGCGCCATCACCTCCCCCGCATATTGAAGGGTAGTCCGATAAAGGATTCTGGGGGGCGTTGTCCTGTCCGAAGCCTAGGGAGGTGAGGGCCTAAGGCACGCCCCCGAGTGGTGACCCCGGGGGAGTTTCTAGTTGATGTGCATCAGCAGGACTCCACCTACTGGTGGTTAACCCTTCCCGGACTTCAAGCGGATGGGCTGAAGTTGGATATAGTCTGTTAGGACCAATGCCTAAGCCAATACCGCTCATCACCTGTAACCAATAAAGCTGTGGCCTTATTTAGCCCATTAACCTTAATAATTGTGTCAAGTGTCTTTATTTCCGGGGGGGGGGGCAGGAACTCGCCACACAAGTGCAGCCCTGAAGGATCTCGCCTCCCCTGTAACGTCATAAGGCTGCATTCTCAGATGAGACCTCCTGACGGGATTCAATGGCAGGCTTGTGGCTATCAGAAACAGTAGCACCAGATTGGCTCTGTGAGGACATCTGCACTTTGTCGACTTCTTAACCACACCACCCATCAGGAGGTCAGGGCAACAAGGAGGTCAGGCGCAACAGCACTTTCCCAACACATTGCCTACTACTGATCCATACTCCCTTCTCTTTTACCCTGGGAATAGGTGTCCCTGTGATCTACAAAAGTGATTTGAATTAAAAAACTAAATCCATGGCTGTATGACCTTCCATGTGGATGGAAAGTGTGGTGGAGCTGGGACCATAAGCCAGCGACATGTGCAGGGCAAGATCAGACTTCAGAAATATGGTCTGAATTGGACCCAACTGCTGATGATTCAGGTGAGCAATTCCAAACTCAACACGTCTGCAGCAACCTCAGGGGTATCTGTCCTTGTGAAACAGGGTGAAGAACCTCTTTGGCTCCACCAGGCTAGATCCAGGCCAGGTTAGGATTGGCCTCGCTGGCCAAAGGTGACATTGTTAGGACATCTCATGAATGGCAGGCAGGTTGTCCCGCCCACCTGTCAAAATCCATTGAATCAGTAGAACTGCTGAGCCGAGTATGGCTTAACTCCCACTCATCAGCTGATGATCAGGGACTAAATCGCTGGCTTGGTTCTCCACTCTTGATGTAGAACAATGAATCATACAGAGTGATGAAGGGGTAAAAAAAAGTCATTTCCCGCAACATCATGCCAATGCTACTTTCATCCCTGAGCTTAACAAAAAATGCCTAGTGCCTACTTACAGCTGGAAGAGCGAAAAAGGAAACGCCAATCAGGGTGAAAGTTGCAGCAAGGAGGCGCCCATTCCAGGTTTGCGGATATTTGTCCCCGTAGCCAATGGTAGTCAGTGTAATCTGAGGAAAGGCAGATATCATCAATAGCGGCTCTTCAAGGGTAATGTTGGTTCGGTGTCTAATAGACTGCACACTTTTTCAAAAGAATAAAATATTTCCATATGAAATTTCACTCCCAATAATTCTTTCCTAAGAGAAATTAATGTTGTATCGTCTGACTTTTTTAAAAAATAATATTTTTATTTGCTTTTCTGTTATATCTTGCCATCAATACGTACTCTGTTACATTCATGCTTAAAACAAAAATAAAGGTGATAACCTAAATATAAAACATGAGCATATAATAATAATGGTAACATATCTACATTCCTCCAAATTGTTTAATTCCTGTATGTCTTTACTTTTACTTCCCTTCCACTCTTTCCATGATTTCCTTTATAACTGCATTTTCTTATTCTTCTACATTATTCTCATTACCTTACATACTGTAATATAGGCTTCTTTCCATGTTTCTGGGATTTTATCTGTTTTTAAAAATCTCATTCATCACATCTTTCAGTGGGTTTACCAATTGTTCACTTAATATATTTATATCTTCTGACTTTTTTAAAACTAAGAACCTAATGCTAAATTTGTGCTAGTCTACATCCATAAGCATTCATTCATAAGTGGGAATGCCGTTTGGACAAAAAAAATAAAAATATTGGGGCAAACACAGGATTTTTGGCAAAATAATCTTAATTGGGAAAATGGTGTCCTCTGATTTATTTCGCTGTGTTCATCACCGGTCGGCAAGGGGAGAATGAAACTATCACCAAATGAGAAAAGTATCATCAGTTACAAAAATAACCTGCCGCATCTGCACTAGAACCTTTCTCCCTAGTGATACACTTGTTTTGTGTGTGTTGTGGTTGCTTATCTTCAAAAATATTCCAACAAATGAAGGTTCCTAATCCCCACCACATGTTGCAAGCTGAAATGGTACAGCCCAGGTAAATCCACTGCATGACTAATCCAATTATCTGTTTCGGCGACTGAGCATTTTAACCACTTGTTTAACTCTCTCTTTTTCCTTCCTGCAATTCTTCCAGGTGGTCATTTTTCTCTGTATCGAGGGGAAAGAGGAAAGAGGAGAATACATAATCAGGGGTGGGAAGGGGCTGACCTTTTGTCCATGGCAGCCTTTCCTCATCCTTATCTGCCCCTCACCTCACTTCTATTTTAGACTGTAGCCCCCTTGAGGGCAGGAACCCATCTAATTTTGCCTGTGCAGTGGAGATTTGAACCCTGGTCTCCCAGGTCCTATTTTGGCACCCGATTCGCTGCACCACACTTGCTCTCAGTTGCACTGATTATCACACACACACACGAAAGAAACCTGAGAGGGCCATGTGGGATGTGAAACACAAGAGCAGTCAAGTACAACATCACTAGAGTGAACACGTTTATACATGGGGAGGAATGTTTGTCCAGCCAGCAGGTAAACTTCCTGTTTCTTTCTGGGCTGGAACAGACTTCCTCTGCATGTGACTAGAGGTGGGCATGGCCTCACCTGTGCAGGTAAGGACAAAAGCAGAGGGCAGGGCAGCCATCTCTCTCTCTTACACTACATGCATCGAAGAAGCAACATCTGCTTAGCCAAAGATGCTCTTTTGGCTTCCAGCCAAGAGAGGACAAAGGGACTGTCTCCTTATGAGATAGTTTCCAGGTGTATGTTACTTTTCTAAGCTAAATCTGCCTTCTGGGATCCGATTGTGAACAGAATGTGAGTAAACTCTTTATATACTTTTATAGAAGACTGTGTCATATCTTATCTTATATGAGGGAATAAAGGGAAAATACCAGAACAGTTATTATAGAGGCTTTAGCGAGCCTGAGCAAACGCATCCGCCGAGTTTAAAAAGGGGAATGTTACTCTGCTAAATTGTGAACTGATTAATACAAGTTGGAAAGGCTATAATCAGACAATATATCCTCTCCTGCATCCCTGGACATTCCCACAGGCCACCCTCTTGATACCTGGAGAGGAAGTGGGCATAGTTTATAGCCAGTGAAGATGAGGATATGGGTTTGAAAAATCATAGAATCGTAGAGTTGGAAGGGACCCTGAGGATCATCAAGTCTGTTATAAGAAGCTTAAGAAATATAGAGTAAATATTCATAAATGCACACATATCTAAATATATGAACCATGTGTCTGAAATAGTATGGGAGAGCAATCCTGAAGCCATTTTGACTCTCCCAATGACCTCAAATATTCCTCTGCAGTAAGGGAGGCAAATGGGGAAAGCCTTCCCATTGTCCTTTTGCTTGCAAATCATGTCCTAAGGGCGTATTTGTTTATGAATTGGGTGAGCCTGTGACCTGGATTCAGGAATTAAAGTATTTACCATCACAAAAGAATGGCCAGGCCGCCCAGGTAAAGCAATCAGTGACCATTATGAGGTATCCTAGCAGACAGGATTTCTGTCATAGACCGCCTCCTTCTGTGATGTATGTATGATGTTTAGGGGGCTGGTCTTGGGCTACAGGGTAGGCAATTTCAAAAGTCTATATAAGGGCTTGCGCACCATTGTTCAGGGTTCTCCTCCCTCCTGCATGTGGTGAGTGGGGACCCTGTTGCAACACTGACAAACTGGTAACCAAAATGGTCAAAGGCCTGGAAACGATGCCTTATGAGGAACGGCTAAGGGAGCTGGGCATGTTTAGCCTGGAGAAGAGGAGGTTAAGGGGTGATATGATAGCCATGTTCAAATATATAAAAGGATGTCACATAGAGGAGGGAGAAAGGTTGTTTTCTGCTGCTCCAGAGAAGCGGACACGGAGCAATGGATCCAAACTACAAGAAAGAAGATTCCACCTAAACATTAGGAAGAACTTCCTGACAGTAAGAGCTGTTCGACAGTGGAATTTGCTGCCAAGGAGTGTGGTGGAGTCTCCTTCTTTGGAGGTCTTTAAGCAGAGACAACCATATGTCAGGAGTGCTCTGATGGTGTTTCCTGCTTGGCAGGGGGTTGGACTCGATGGCCCTTGTGGTCTCTTCCAACTCTATGATTCTATGATTCTAGTTTATTTCCTTTAATAAAAATCAGGCTTAATTAGCAGCTTTGCTTCTCAATATACACTGTTGTTGTTTGTTGTTGTTTAGTCGTTTAGTCGTCTCCGACTCTTCGTGACCCCATGACTCCTGTCTTCCACTGCCTCCTGCAGCTTGGTCAAACTCATGCTGGTAGCTTAGAGAACACTGTCCAACCATCTCGTCCTCTGTTGTCCCCTTCTCCTTGTGCCCTCCATCTTTCCCAACATCAGGGTCTTTTCCGGGAAGACTTCTCTTCTCATGAGGTGGCCAAAGTATGGGAGCCTCAGCTTCAGGATCTGTCCTTCCAGTGAGCACTCAGGGCTGATTTCCTTCAGAATGGAGAGGTTTGATCTTCTTGCAGTCCATGGGACTCTCAAGAGTCTCCTCCAGCACCATAATTCAAAAGCATCAATTCTTCGGCGATCAGCCTTCTTTATGGTCCAGCTCTCACTTCCATACATCACTACTGGGAAAACCAATATACACTGTTTGGCCTCTATTATTTCCTTCTACCAATAGGGAACCCTCAAGGACTCTATGCGGGCTCCGGAATACCCCATAAGGGAAAGGGAGCAGTTTTTTTCTTCTAACAAGTCCAACTCTCTGCAATGCAGAAATTTGCAGTTGTCCCATACAGAAATCGGACCTGCAATCTCAGCGTTCTCAGCACTGTGCTCTAACCAAGTGAGCTACCCAGTACAGAGGAAAGGCGATTCCAGAATGGCTGAAAGTTAATCAGGAATCCTTTCACCCCACCAAACGTTATCCGACCGCCATGCACTCCAAGTCTATCCAGTGTGAATCTCTCCAGCACCTCCTGCTGACCTGCTTCCCATTTTAAACAGCTCATTAGGCAGAAGTAACAAATTAATGGCTGCTTCACACCCCCTCATTAAAAGCTCAGATTTGCTCCCTTTCTTCCTAGTATTGCAGTCCTAAAAAAGGAGCTAGGGGAAGTGGGAAGAGGATTCAGGGATACGGCTAGGGAGGTTGGGCATTTACTGCAAGGCCAAAATTGCCAAAGCGCCTACCCTTCTCGCAAGGCAATTAGCATTTTGCTAATCAATGCAGATCAGCTCTTTTTCAAGCTGGCAAAGGACCCCCAGGCTTGGGGCAAATGGCTTTGTTTTTTCTAGACAGCCATAGTTTGAAAAAAAATCGGCATGCAAGTTTTATTATTGACTCAGTAAATCACATATTTCTTTACTGACAATTGTGACAATTAATCTATTATCATTATTATTATTAACCCTTTCATTTCTTTTTGCGTGAGCCCACCTGTTATTAAAACTCAATTTTGTAAAATGGGCAGGGGGGAAGAGCAGCAAACAGGTGGAGCTGAGTGGGGAATCACTGCTCACCTGGCTTCCCAATATGGAGATTGCTGCCGGTAACCGAAAAGGTGAAGGTGTGAAGAGGACACTACAGTACGGGCACAGTAGCAGAAGCGTCAAAGTGGGTCTGCCACCGTGCCCACACTGAGCCAACCTCCCCACTTCCTCTTCATCTTGGTTACCAGGAGCGGCCTCTACAACAGGAAGCCAGTTCACCAACACTGGCTCAGCCAATGCAAAGCATCTAACATCAAAGAAAATAACAACAACAACAATAATAATAATTTACTTATACCCCACCCATTTTGCCGGATCTCCCCAGCCACTCTGGGCAGCTTCCAACAGGATACTGAAAACATGCTAAATAACAACAACAACAACAATAACAACAACAACAAATTATTTATACCCCACCCATCTGGCTGAGTTTCCCTAGCCACTCTGGGCAGCTTCCAATTGAGTGTTAAAAACAATACAGCATTAAGTATTAAAAACTTCCCTAAACAGGGCTGCCTTCAGATGTCTTTTAAAGATAAGATAGCTGCTTATTTCCTTCACATCTGAAGGGAGGGCGTTCCACAGGGTGGGCGCCACTACCGAGAAGGCCCTCTGTCTGGTTCCCTGTAACCTCACTTCTCGCAATGAGGGAACCGCCAGAAGACCCTCGGCGCTGAATCTCAGTGTCTGGGCTGAACGATAGGGGTTCCGCAGGGCGGGCGCCACCACCAAGAATACCCTCTGCCTGGTTCCCTATAAATTTACTTCTGGCAGTGAGGGAACCTCCAGAAGGCCTTTGGTGCTGGACCTCAGAAATACCTCTCTTGCAGCAACACCACATTTTCCCAACACTCAAAATGCAGATTTGGGGAATGAGGAAATGTCAGTGCCGTGGTTGCATTTCTTCTTCTTTTTCTCCCACGTCACGCTTCAGTTGTAGAAATGCGTAGACTATAGGTACATTGTTGGCACCTACCAGATTGTGCCCATCAAATCCCTGGCGATGAGTAATGCAGATCTCCTCCTACAACATCCATGCCATTTTTAATACTATTTTTAACTTATTATAGGCCTGAGCCGTCTCCACACTGTGATGTTATAATACGAAATATAATACCCTTTCTAAAAGTCACAGGCAGCAGCATGACTACCCAACAACAAACACACACACACACACACCATCCTTGCAAAAGACCTTTGGGATTTTCATTAGTCTACAGACTCCACTCCCCCTTGCTGCTTTGCATTCCACTTGCAAATCTTGGAGAGCAGGCTGCTTTTTCCACCCCCTACGGCTCACTCCGTTGATGTAACAGACTAACTGATTCATTTTTCTTTCCAAACTTGGGAGCCGTTGGAATTTGATTCGTTCCTCCATCTGTGGCTTCCACGCACTTTGCAATGAAGGCCCAAACTCCTCACCTGAACGAGATCGAGAAAAACAGGGGAAACAAAAGGGCAACTGTATCTGCCAGAGAACCTCGCTAACTGCCACTTTGTTATTCTCTTAATCCGATAATCTGCGCACAGGAAGACAAAGGCAGAACAAAAGCACCATCTCGCCTTGCTTCTGTACAAAGCTCACAAGTATTCACGCTCTTCTAGCAGAGAGTCTTTGTTAATTTTACAAAGCACACTCACGACTTCCGGGTTTGCAGTGTTTAGGTTCCAAGTTGTTTGAGTACTAAGGCATTTGAGAACCAAAGTACCACTGTATCGGCTATTGGCAAGCAGCCTGAAGGAGATGCACAGTTCACACCATTATCTCACACCAAGTTTGGCCCTCAAAAGAGTCTGAAAGTGCAAGCTGAAATCACAAGAGAAGGAGGAGCAGGAGCAGATATCCACATCATGGCAAGAAATTGACCTCAAGGGGATACTCACCAAGCCCCACCAGAGTGCATCTGCATAGGTGTCAAAGTGATCGTTTTCTCCCTTCTCAGCCAAGTACACCAGGAAGGAGGCTAGAATGAGGCAAAGGAAACCAATATACCAGGCAGTGATCAGCTCCTGCAACACAATGAAGAAGAAAGAATGGAACAGCACGTCTCAAATGCAACGGTTTTTCCGTAATGCACAGAGCCTTTTGCAAAACAGGTGCCTTCCAGATCTCTGAGACTGCAGCTCCCATGAGTCCTATTTGCAGCAGCAGAAATGTTTGCTCATTTTTTTAATGCTCTCGTGACGATCGTCAGCCACGGTTGATGGGAAAGCGGCACGCAACTTATTAAATCAAATCAGGCTATATAGCAAGGGCTGCTTGCCCAGGTCTCTGCTGCTCACCTTGCTGTGGGCATACACCACCGACCCGAGAAGCTTCCAAGTGCCTCCTCGGCGGTCCATTCGGATCATGCGCAGGATCTGCAGAAACCTCAAACTTCTGAGCGCAGAGGTGGCAAAGACATTCCCCTGGGACCCAGCAGCCAGCACAGCGATGGAAGCAATTAACACCATGATGTCTGTGTATGGATAAGCAAGGATGGAATAATAATAATAATTTAATAATAATAATTTATTATTTATACCCCGCCCATCTGGCTGAGTTTCCCCAGCCACTCTGGGCGGCTTCCAATCGAGTGTTAAAAACAATACAGCATTAAATATTAAAAACTTCCCTAAACAGGGCTGCCTTCAGATGTCTTTTTAAGATAAGATAGCTGCTTATTTCCTTCACATCTGAAGGGAGGGCGTTCCACAGGGCAGGCACCACTACCGAGAAGGCCCTCTGCCTGGTTCCCTGTAACCTCACTTCTCGCAATGAGGGAACCGCCAGAAGGCCCTCGGTGCTGGACCTCAGTGTCCGGGCTGAACGATGGGGGTGGACACGCTCCTTCAGGTATACAGGACCGAGGCCGTTTAGGGCTTTAAAGGTCAGCACCAACACTCTGAATTATGCTCGGAAACATACAGGGAGCCAGTGCAGATCTCTCAGGACCGGTGTTATGTGGTCCCAGCGGCCACTCCCAGTCACCAGTCTAGCTGCCGCATTCTGGATTAATTGCAGTTTCTGGGTCACCTTCAAAGGTTGCCCCACGTAGAGTGCATTGCAGTAGTCAAAGCGGGAGATAACTAGAGCATGCACCACTCTGGCAAGACAGTCCGCGGGCAGGTAGGGTCTCAGCCTGCATACCAGGTGGAAAGAGAAGAAAGGTTGTTTTTATTATTTGTATTTATATTTGTACAGTGGAACCCTGGTTCTTGAACTTAATCCATTCCGAAAGTCCGTTTGACTCCCAAAACGTTTGAAAACCAAGGCACGGCTTCCAATTGGCACAGGCGCCCCAGAAACAATAGCCGACAGCCGTTTCAGACGTTCGGCTTCTGAAAAACATTCGAAAACTGGAACACTTACTTCCAGGTTTTCAGTATTTGGGAGCCGATTTGTTCATCAATTAAGCCGTTCTAGAACCAAGGTTCCGCTGTATTTGTGTACCTTCTCTTTGCAGAGTATAACATTTTCATTTAATCCAACTTTTTCTGCGCTTCCGTGTCATTTTAAGCTTCCAGGTGCATGTTATGGGCCAAACAACATGTTACATTAAATGCTTCTTCCACATTTGGGGGTGTTTGGCCTCGTCTAGATGTATCACTAGACTACGGTTTAGTGTGTACATGTTTAGCCTCCTCCTGATGGGGAAATCTGTCATACAGTCAATTCATACAGTCGGGCTGGTGGGCATGGTTTGGTGGGAAACAGCCTCACTGGCCAAACTGGGACCCACGCTGGGCGAAATCTGGCCTGCAGAGCAGCGGTTCTCCATCCCTGCTCTATCCAGACAAGGAAGAAGCATTATCAGAATTCAAGGACCCATTTCAGGCAAGAAAAATCCATTTGGGGTGCAAAGCACTGTCAGTGAGAGGTGCAGCAATTCATCTCTGTGCATTGTTTTCCACGAGAACAAGTACTGAGGCTCTGCAATTATTACAACCTTCTGCAATTTTTTAAGCCTTCAAGTTGGCTAAGCCATGGGTAGGCAAACTAAGGCCCAGGGGCCAGATCTAGTCCAATCGCCTTCTAAATCCAGCCCATGGACGGTCCGGGAAACAGCGTGTTTTCACATGAGTAGAATGTGTCCTTGTATTTAAAATGCATCTCTGGGTCATTTGTGGGGCACAGGAATTCATTCATAATTTTTTTCAAAAATATAGTCCAGCCCCCCACAAGGTCTGAGAGGCAGTGGACCGGCCCCCTGCTGAAAAAGTTTGCTGACCCCTGGGCTAGGCATTAGGCAAGCTGCTGTGGGCACCGACAGAAAGGATCCACAAGGCTTTCACAATCTATTACTCTTCAGATCAGAACTTTACAAACTGTGTGTCATGACACGTCAGTGTGTCAGCTGCATTCTGTAGGTGTGTCACGCGAAAGCTC